CACACCTATAACCATCAAAATCAGGGATACAAAATTCTAATTTCATAGAATAAACGAAATCCTATTGATGGTTAAAAAAGCAAACCAAAAAAATCAGTAACAAGCTTGTAAGTTCACATAAGCTGTATTACTCACATTATACTTTAGATACTTCTTGCAGCAAGACATCTACAGGTTCTCCTCTTTATCTATCATCAATTTACTGAGGTATGCAGCCCAAATGATATACTTTATATGCCTGCATCCAACCTAACCCGAGTCTAAGTATCCCTAATAATATAAGGAAAGGGTCTTTGAATTTTATACATAGTTTTCAATTTAAATAGATAAGTACATTATTCATTCCACAGGGATTTTATCTGCATACATTCATTATAAGAGTGATTATGCTAGTGCTTTGCTTCATGATTTATAAGTAAGAGTATAATAGCTTAAGCATTTGTTTTAGTTACAGACTGTATGAGTTTCTGTCTCAATAAAAGTTCCAGTGTTTCTGTTGTTACACTAGTCTAAAAATAAAATTAACTATATATATTCATTTATCATAAATGTCAGTCTCATAGGATGTTGCAAGAAAAAAAGTAATTTGTGAGTATTAGCAAAATAAAGAAACATACTCTACTTCCTTCCCTTTCAGAGAGAGAGAGAGAGAGAGAGAGAGAGAGAGAGAGAGAGAGAGAGAGAGAGAGAGAGAGAGAGAGAGAGAGAGAGAGAGAGAGAGAGAGGGAAGGAGTGAGAGAGAGAGAGAGAGAGAGAGAGAGAGAGAGAGAGAGAGAGAGAGAGAGAGAGAGAGAGAGAGAGAGAGAGAGAGAGAGAGAGAGAGAGGAGAGAAACAGAGAGAGGAGAGAGGCAGAGAGAGGAGAGAGGCAGAGAGAAGAGAGAGACAGAGATAGGAGAAAGGCAGAGAGAGTGAGAGAGTTAGAGAGAGAGTGAGAGAGACAGAGAGAGAGAGAGAGAGACAGAGAGAGACATAGAGATAGAGAGAGAGAGAGAGAGAGAGAGAGAGAGAGAGAGAGAGAGAGAGAGAGAGAGAGAGAGAGAGAGAGAGAGAGAGAGAGAGAGAGAGAGAGAGAGAGAGAGAGAGAGAGAGAGAGAGAGAGAGACAGAGAGAGAGACAGAGACAGAGAGAGAAAGAGACACAGAGAAAGAAAGAGACGTAGATAGAGAGAGAAAGAGACACAGAGAAAGAAAGAGACATAGATAGAGAGAGACAGAGAGAGAAAAAGAGAGAGAGAGAGAGAGACAGAGAGAGAGAGAGAGAGAGAGAGAGAGAGAGAGAGAGAGAGAGAGAGAGAGAGAGAGAGAGAGAGAGAGAGAGAGATTCGAAAAGAAAAGGAGAGAGTGGGAGAGAGGGAATGGGAGAGGGAAAAAGTATGGAGACTGGAAGAGAGATATGTTGTATCCACTTCCATGACAAAGATGTTGCAACATTCATTTAGTAATGTATGCTTTTGTGTATTCAAGTTAGAGAGTTTCTAATCATCAATGTCTATGGAAATCTCATTTGTTTCTTATATAAATAAAAATGTGTCACTCAATTTCAAGAGATAATCAAACATCTCCCACTAAAAATAAATTAGCAAACAAACAAACAAATAGATATTTTAAATAAATAATAATAACAAACAGCTCTTATACATTTTTACCATTTACATAATATTCACTTGCATTAGTCATTGTCAAATCTTAGCTTTAAACCCACTATCAGAAGATACTACTTTACAATAAAAAAAATAAATAAATAACAGCATTAGTACAAAGAGCTTCTGGTTTTAGCTACACTAAGGAAGCCAACTGTGTGCTTAGGGGTTCAGATAAGGAACAGGGCTACTTCAACGCTACTATAAAGGTTCTTCTTGAGGGGTAGGGCACAAGAACTTAGTAAAACTTGAATCTGTCTCACATCATTTGAGTTTCAATTTTGTTTGAGTGTTAACCTTCTATTCTCCTCTCAACCTGATATGCCAATTCTCTTTCTTTCTCTCACTCTCTCTCTCTCTCTCTCTCTCTCTCTCTCTCTCTCTCTCTCTCTCTCTCTCTCTCTCTCTCTCTTTCTCTTTCTCCTCCTCTTCCTCTTTCTCTTTTTCTTTCTCTTCATCCTCCTCTTCCTCTTCTTCTTTCTCTTTCTGTTTCACTTTCTCTTCATCCTCCTCTTCCTCTTCTCTCTTTCTTTTTCTCTTCCTCTTTCTCTTTACCTTTCTCTTTTTTTTCTCTTCATCCTCCTCTTCCTCATTCTCTTTTTCTTTCTCTTACTCTTCTTCTTTCTCTTTCTATTACACTTTCTCTTCATCCTCCTCTTCCTCTTTCTTTCTTTCTCTTCCTCCTTCTCTCTTTCTTTCTCTTTCTCTTCCTCTTCCTCTTCTTTTCCTTCTTCTTCTTCCCCTTCCTCTCCCTCCTCTTCTAATTCCTATGCTCTTATCCCCCTGTACCCCTATCCCACCTCTCTCGCTTTATCTCTCTTTCCCTCTTTTCCTCTCTCATTCTTTCCCCCTCTCCCTTGCTCCTTCTCCCCCTCTCTCTCCCTCTTTTTCTCCCTCTCTCTCTTTCAATTTCCCTTTCTAGCTCTCCCTCTCCTCCTTCCTCTCATTCTCTCCTGTTCCCTCTCTCCTTCTCCCTTTCCCTCTCCCTCTCCCTATCCCTTTCCCTGTCCTTGTCCCTATCCTTGTCCCAGTCCCTCTCCCTCTCTCCTTCTCCTTCTCTTCATCTCCTTTTCTCTCTCATAATAGAAGTTAACACTCAATAACATTTATAAATATTTCAGTTGTGCTAACAAGATTCAGCTTTATGTCTTGCCCTAGTATGGGGGGATTACAAATGCCACAGCAACTCTGCTCATCTGAAAGGATTAAGTTATCACTAGAAGCCAGAGGAGTAAGAAAATGTGTTCTTCACACATTGCAAACACAGGATCTGCTTCTTGGTTAGGAGGGGGACTAACCTACAGAAAACCTTAACATGCTTCCTCAGGGCATTCTGATGACACCATCTTACCATAAGTTTTTTTTTCTGGTATATGACACTTCATTTTGTTTAATAAAAAATCCATAAGGGAAAAAAAAGAAACAGAAAAAGAGGGAGATGGTGACTCCAAAATTGTCTGCCACTGAGGAAGCTGAATAAACACATACCCTGTTCCCTATGCTCCCTGATGTTGGGCCATAACCCTACAACAGAAATATGCACTTGGGTCAGCCACCATCAGCCTTAGAGACTGCTGCTCTAAGACAGTCTTTCACTACATCTTCTGATATTACTGTAACAGCTTTGTATATAGCACAGACATCCCACATCTATCTCAATCAACTGATAACCTTTATTAGATTCCATATTGTATGGCTGGCTCTGGGGTACTATAGCTAAAGTCCATCATGATGGTAAAAAGATAAAAAGAGAGTACTTAGGTCAGCCACTGAAAGCCATGGATTTAGCGCGGCTATTCTTATCCTATTTATCTTAAAAATTGAGGCCTAAAGCTTTACTATAGCTGAGACCTAAAAAGATAAAAAAGAAAAATATTTCCTTATTAAAGCTTTAATGAGCCTAACCCAGCCTTCTAATACCATTTCATTTGATACAATGCTGAAGAAACCAAGCTTTAGTATGTTTAAGTGCTTTTTTGTTCTTACAGTGTAAACCAAAGCAGGAGTTTCTACCCAATGACTGACACCTAAGGATTCCTTTTTTGTAGAACTGAACTTGAAATGTATGACTTGCTAATTCAGATCTATAACAGATATTAAAATATCGTCTGAAAAATATAAAAAAAAGGCATGAGGTTGAGAGAGAGAATGGTGAGGGAGGGAATCTACATGTGTGTTTATATATAAATATGCATGTTAGTAAGTGTGTGTGTGTATGAATGTGTATAAGTGTTCATGTATAAAATTGTGTGTGTGAGAGAGAAAGAGAGAGAGAGAGAGAGAGAGAGAGAGAGAGAGAGAGAGAGAGAGAGAGAGAGAGAGAGAGAGAGAGAGAGAGAGAGAGAGAGTGAGAGTGAGTGAGTAGGTGAGTGAGTAGGTGAGTGAGTAGGTGAGTGAGTGAGTGTGTGTGTGTGTGTGTGTGTGTGTGTGTGTGTGTGTGTGTGTGTGTGTGTGTGTGTGTGTGTACACACATGTATATACATATACAGCAGTTTTGAACCAGACACAATTTTTATTCTAAATCAATAACTTGCAAAATAAAATAAATTCCTATTTCTTACATAAATGCTAAAATTAGAAAATATACAATTGCTATGTGATACTAACTTTATATATATATATTCTAATAGGCAATTATGACTATATCCTTAACTATATCTATATCAACCTTTAAATACAAATCTCTTTTTCGGGCTATAAAATTATCCACTCAAAAGTATCTACTGATTCATCACACCTAAAAGGATAAAGCTTATTACTCATATTTCCATCCATCTGTTAACTATTTTCCATGATGATTTTCTTAAGAACAAGTGGCCCAGTGGCCTCAGTGACTTTGCTAAGCTTTGGGTTTATATTCAAATTGGAGAAGGATTGATTATCGGAGGTCAAACTGTCATTAGTAAATTAGAGGTATCAGTTCAAGAGTTGCTAGACTGCTTGTGTGGTCTCCATGAACGCTGTCCACAAACTACTTCTGATGCAAACACCATTAATGGAAAAAAAAGTTTAACACATATGATTTAATTACAAAATAAGAAACAGTGTAATTTACTTTTGATTTAGGGCTTGACTCAAAAAGAGACTTAATAAGTTGAGGGATATTTCTTTAAATCATTTATTCTACTTATTATTTATTGTGTAAATTTGTTATTTATCATATCATGATTTCAGTACCAGCCACTTCAATCATGTAAATTGTAACTCTCAAGCTACCTCTGTCATCTGCTGATGTTCAAATATATTTTTCAAATCAAACCCTACCAAAAAATTAAATTGGTATTTATGAACATATTACAGATTTGTGAATCAGATGAAGAGACACAAAATGTATAAGTATTTGCAATGTATAATGACTCA